CTAACACAATTGTGTATGGGTAATGTACTATCTGTTAAGTGAGTAATTTTAGCATTTAAATGTATGTGGAATTTGAAAATGTTGACTTTTTTTATGAAATCTAATCTTTGTTTCACAATTAAACTATGGAAAATATGTATGTTAACAACTTGTGAAATAGAGTCACAAATATATTTAACTGCAGGAGACAATACTAAATCATCATCCTCCGTAAAGATTACTTGAAGTCCATCTTTGTCAAGCAAACAACAATCGGCGATGTATTGTCTATGTAACACATCAATATTTTCCAGAGAATATTTTAGTCAAACATATATAAACTGAGTTTTTTTGAAGATTATGGTGTGTGTGTGTTACTTCAATATAAGATGGTCGCCCCTCGCGGTGCTCACCCATAGTGGGAAATGTTGGGTCTCTGTAAATAATTTATATGGAGTATGGTCTAGATCTGCTCTATATTAAAAAGTGTGCTGATATTAACTTCTGTTATGATTTAATTTATTTTGAAAAGTTCAAGCGGGAACTCACTGACAAAATCCAACAACACCCCATCCTATCCATGCTTTTGGACTCCTCATACAACCAATATCCAATTTTCTCAGCGGGCATGTGTGTGTGTGTGTGTGGCAAAAAGGCCAGCAGTTTGAGATGGAACTTTGATCAGCTCTTTCTCCATTGCCCTCTGAATCAAAGATATCTAGCTCCATCCCTTTAGTGCAGATGGTGTGTGTGTGTTTTCATCAGGCTGCTTGTGGCGGCCAGAGGAAGAAATGGCCATTATAGCAACACAGTAAAAACCCTCTGCTTGTGTTTTATTTGATTGAATACATTTCATGGCGGCTTTATGGAAATGACTGGACATGCCCCATTTTCCTGTTTTACTCAGATGAGGTCTTTTGTTTGTCACACTACGGTGCACATCACAGAAACCAATCAAAATTCCTCACCATGGCACGTAATAGGAATGCAAACTGAAAACTGCATTACACGTTCATTCCAGATTGCAGAGAGCAAAGGCAGGATAAATGAGGCTGTGATTAGAGAGAAGAGCTCTTCCAGAGGCAGCTGGCCCATCTCTTTATACCACAAGAACACTCAGTAATAGGTTTGCACTGACAACAAACCACAGGTCTGTCATTAGCAGGGTGTCTTCAAGCCTCTTCACAGAGGTAAGTGAGCACAAACCTGATACACCAAACACATACAAATAATCTTATTTGCCTCTTTCATATGCTTTTAACTCAAGCCCGCTATTTATCTCACCTCTCTCAGATGAGCCTTGGTCTGATTTCTGATGAACTTTGAAGATAATGACTGGCTACAGAGATTTAATCCAAGAGCCCTAAATGGTTCGTCTGACCACATCTTCCACTCCAACCTCCAATGCAAATAAAAGCTTTTTACTCAAATCTGTCGCCTGTATTAGAAATGCTATTATCATTTAGTGCTTTCTCCGATGACAGCCAGATACGGCTTTCTTTCATTCCTAATTTAACCAATGTTTGAGACAAGATGCATCAAATTAGTTATACTTTGAATCATCTTTGTTTAAGTCATTATGCTCAAAGATTTGGCTGAGCCTGTGATAAGATTACTTTAAATGAAGTGAACTCTGTGAAGTATATCTCTTTTTAGCCAGAGTAATTTTGTTCTTGATTCAGTGATCAGAATGCGAGCTGAAAGGGAATTTATTGTCCCTTGGAGCCATTCAAAGTGCAGTTGCAGGTAAGACATCAGTGACAAAGTAAGGCTAGCCTGTCATCCTTTGACAACTAGGGCTTGAGGGGGGGATCACTTACACCTGAGAGATATCTAACCCTGTCGTTCTCCTTCTCACACCTCCACTCCCTCACTTATCGTTCTCTCAGACCTGTGCGTGTTCTCAAATATTCATGACCATGCAGCCAGTGTCATCTTAGAATATCTAAATGGGAAGCCCAAGGCAGAGGGAAATCATCCTACTATGAAATTCTCCGGTCCTCTACGAATGTTAAAGCAGTCATCTATAAACCTCGCTCCATCAGTTCCCTCCCCCTCACTGTTACAATTTCTTCCGTTCTTATTTCCACTCCAAAACTCTTCTGGTGAATAGACGACATGGCAATTCAGACAAAATTACAAATTTGCTACGTTTTTAATAGAAATTCAGTGGTTACCATGTGTGCTTTTTTTTTCCATTTCAGTGACAACATCTGCCACTGGACCTGAAAGTGATATGTAAAAGTTTTGACAGCTGATTTGTAAAACACATACACATACACACAAACACAACAAATTGCCCCCATGCTCATTCTCTGTGGGAAAAAAAGCAACATTAAATGACTGAGCCTTGGCTGAGTGATTCCCGATCTGCCACTTAAGCGACTGGGGGCTGACGCATTGTGCCAGCTCATGTTCAGGGTCATGCCTGTGTCACTTAAAGACTCTTTAATGAGACCCAGGCAAGCAGGCTGTGCCCAGCCGAGCGGAGACGAAAGTCTAAAAGCGACCACAGCATGAGAGAATTAAAGATCTCAACTATTGCAAGCCAATGAGTTCTACTAACAGGAAAGGCGAGAGATTTGTGGAAGTGCTACAAAAAAGTCTCTTACGACAAAAAGTTGTGATGCAGCTCATTCATTTAAAAACTTTCCTTCCTGTTGAAGCGTGGTGGCGGGTGGTGGACATGGAGTTGTAGGAAGCTCAACAGGACCTGTCCTGTAAGGGCTGGCTTAGTTCAGCCTTAAGCTCCAAAAGGGCCAAGCTAGAGTTGAAATGGCTTTGTTTGCTGTATCAAGTGATATTCTTGACAGACTGATCAGGTGCTACTGAGACGAGCAGATCACACAGAGAGAGAGAAAACCAAGAGTGAGAGAGAGAGAGAGAGAGAGAGAGAGAGAGAGTGAGGGACAGCATGAGAGACTTTCAAAACCACAAATTCGAAGGCAGTTTAATAAAATATTTTTTTATACAGTGCCTCAACAATATAGTATATTATAAATATTTTTTTTAGGTATCAGTAAAATATTTTTGTGTCCAGGCATTAGCTTGCTTGGCCACGTGTTCATTTTATTAAAACCTCTGGCGGCAGCGCACAGCACAGCACAGCACAAGAAACACTCCCAGGAACGAGGCAGGCAATGAATGGATACTTTATACAGTGCTGAGCTCACATGGGTGTTGTTGAACATGAATATTCAATACACACCTTAGAATAAACCATTGTGTTCCCATTTAAACCAAATTTCTTGTGGGATTATGTTTCAAGGATGAATTCAAAGAGGAAAATGACTCTATAGGTAGACACACAAGGTAATGTCAATCCACAGAAGTGCAACAAAATGTTGTGCTACGTGATAAAACTTGGCTAAAGTAAATTGATTTACAGATTTTATTTTTCTACATCTACATTTAATTAGTACCGCACAAGTAGGCATAGAAGTTTTAACTTTGTTTTCCATTTTATGTTGTTTTTCAAGTAACAGGACATGAGACATGAGGCTCCTTTAAAGAGCATACTGTCCAATTGAGTTTCAATTTCAATGAATCTGTGAACGATTTAAACACTTGATACAAGGAGCAAGCACAACAGCAAACTCAGAGAACACACTCAGAAATTTGGCAAACAAAGGTATCTTGGCACGGCGCAGCACAAAGAAGCAGGATGAATATATTATCCTGTTCCATGAATAGTTGGACGAATATATTATAGCAGGTGGAGTTTGTATTAGCCTCAGATCAGCTCCCCTCTTTACCTTTATTAGCAGCAGACTTCTCTAAGCAGAATACTGTCTCCAGGAGGCACAGAGTCCCATGGCACAAATATACATTGTCCAAAATACTAAGATACGGCACACCAAATATGTACAGTATGCAAGATCAGATGACGTCTCTGTTTCAGCTGAATTTACGTCTCAGGAGACAGAAATTCATGTGAACACATATTGCATGCAAAGTTATTTTAGAAGACAGAATCTGTGCAGGTGTACAGGTGTACAACTACACAGGTGTGCAACTGCACAACCCATAAGACTATAACATGTGTTTGCATTTAATATGGTCTATTGCTTTTATTTTTAAATGAAAAGTGTATATTGAGGAAGTCAGATAGGTATGTTCTGTAGGCTATTTATGTGAATGCATGAACTGACAGCTCCCCGTAATAATCCCATTAACATTCATTTATTTCAGTTACAGAGGAAATGATGTTTGGAGTTGCTTCAAGATAAAAATGTCCAGAGATGTTTGATGGAGCCTGGGACACATCCTCAGGATGCTTCCTGAATGATTTCACTCTATAATGTGTGCAGAGTGGTGTACCAGTCTCGTGTTTAGAAAAACAAAGAAACATTTATACATATTTCAGTATAGCTTGGTGTGATATTTGAAGATTAAAGCAATGAATGAAGATAGCCACACTGTTTGACCTACTACAACTACCACTCCACTGAAATAATGCCCTCTTCAGAGCGGGGATATGACCATCCATTATAAAGTCTGTTTAAAATGTCTGAATCAGAGGGCCCGGCCCATTCTGGATTCTATGTCTGGCTCTCTTTCCCATTCCTACTTATGTGTCGGCTAGTTTTCCCTGGGGTTCAACGCCTGAGGACAGGCTGCTATGCTCAGATGCTCATGGAAGGCTGCACACCCTTTTCCTTCAAAACTCAAGGCAAAGGTCTTGGTCCGAGACTGAGACTACGAATGATTACGAAGATAGTGCCATAATTCACTGTCTGCTATAATTCATCACATAACTCTTTATAGCTCAGAATCTGTAGGATAAATTTAAACATAATGAGATCCTGCTGCAGATTTCTCACAGCTTTTCATGTTCATCCCCTGTAAAGTTTAAAGCTCAGTGCTGCACAACCAACATTTGAAAGATGACGCTGATGAAAGGTGAGCTTCACGACTTGCTTTGAACAAATTCTCATCATTATCTCTCTCTTTCACACGGATTTTCAACATGCAAACATACAACACACACACACAGAGACCCATAATAACTGTTTACTTACTGATTCCTGGCTCTTGTCCTTTGCATCATACACAGTCAGCTTGACTAGTGTCTCTGGGCTAGCAGGATACTCTGAAGGGAAGGTCACCCCCGTCAGAAACAGCGGGTCTTTGTTCGCCTGTCAGAGAGAGGGGCAACACAGAAGCAGGGTAAGATACTGAATGTGTGTGTGCATGTGTGTGACAGTGTGTGCCCTTATGCACATTTGAACTGCAACATACATGTTCATAAAAAAGCAGGAAGCCACAGGGAGAAAATGAGGGAGGGAGACTTTGGTGGGTAAATGAGCCAACAGCTGGGCTCAGGCTGTCCTCCTCCTCCTCCTCCCAGCATTCCTCCCGACTCCCCACTCCCCTGCTGCCTCTCCTGGGCACGAAAAAGGAGTAGATAGAGCTCTCCCAGGTGGGTCTACCTGGAGCTCTGGCTTCCAACTGAGACTGCAGGCCACGGGCAATGAATGTTGACAGGCAAGTTGGCACAGTGGCAGGGTGGCAATGGGATTAAACCAGTGCTCACAGCAGCCTGTGTTGTGTCTTCAAACATACCAGAGGGCTGCATGGCATTAGCTAATATTTACTCACAACTTTTCTGAAATCACAATATCCAGTCATCACTTTTAACTTCTATGCTTTTTGAGCTGCAGGGCTATCCATGGCCTGCAGTGTAAAATTGTTCACCTTAACACAGATGGTACTGGTATTTACTTTAGATGTAAAACCCTCTCTAAAACACCTGCAGTACCAGTAAAGTTAGAACCTGATGAACCTGTTAGGAGGAATTATCTTCAAACAACAGAAGGCATCATGAAATAAGGCAGGTTTATCTTCCATAATCTAACTAATGTCCCAAGTTTCAAGAACATTCTGAAAAAAGGGACATTTTCTGACAATATCAAGGTAATTCACCTTATTTCAACATAGTATTGAGAGACAGGAGATTCTTGTTATTTGCAAAAGAGCCATATGGAACCTCATGAACGGAAGATTTGAAAAGATCTTTTATGATTTTCAGCGTAGTTAGATGCACATATTGTGGCACCTGGACAGATTCAGCAAGTTGAGGTGCATACATTTGCCCAATTATGGCCTTGAGTCAATTCTAGCCTAAACTAAAATGATTTTTTTTTGCAGTGCATAGAATCAGCAATAAATCCTAATATAAGTGACTTTTATTGCACCAGAAGCTGAGGGGATTTTTAGGTGAGATTGTTCAGCCATTTGGTGTTGTCTATTTGAACCAATTCAAAGCACTTTGTGTTTACACTGGGGACTTCCTCTTCCTCTGCTCAGCACTGATGGGCGTCTTTAGAACGCAATCCTTCGGGACTGTGTGGGGACAGGCTGGGAAGTGGTAATGAGACTGATACAGACAGACTGGCAGACATGTATGAAATGTATGATCACACCCTTCAATTAAAAAACATCAGCTGAGAAACTACAATATCTATATGTATATATGTATGGCTGAAATATTCTAACTGGCGTGTTTCACTGCATTTTGTTCACAACTCATCACAGATACAAAACAAAATATTTAATAACTCATTTTGTTGTTAGTTGTTCTAAATTTTGAATCATTAGCATGAACAACAAGCTAATGAAAAATATACAAAAATGATATTATATAAGCAAAATGAGAAGTCAATGAGCGATAACACCGATGTATTGCACAAACTTATAAACATTAGAAGAATAAATCAGCAACATTTTGAGAAGGAAACACATCTGTGGTTGAGAGTTGGTTTGTAGGCATTGGTCTTTCCATTAATCACAGACATAAACATAACATGCGCAATGGCTGCCTCAAAAAGACTAAACATTACGTTAATTTGTTATTAATAGACAAAACAAACGCTAAATGAATGGTAAATCAGCATAACTGCAGCTCAGGTAAGAATGACGCACAAACAAGCCTCAAGTCCTTGCCTACATTAAGAGGGTGTCTGAGGACAGAAAGCTAAAGCATTAAGGGCCCTAAAACACACACAGACAGAATTATGTGTTCAACTGCACACACACACACACACACACACACACACGCACGGAGGGAACACGCAGACCCACCTCCTCATCACACCACTAACCCCACTGATCCTTCAGAAATCTTCCATGTGCTGACGGAGGGGAAATAAAACAAGTCTATTGCTTCTTGTTTCAGCCTCTCTAGACATGGTATTACCAGTCTTGTTGCCTGGTGCCATTTTGCTGCCCAACCATGAAGCTTTGTGGTTTGTGTACACTAACATCCTAAACACACAGCCTGATTCAGCACAGTGGGTACAGACACAGAGGAACCAGTGCACTGCTTTGAGGTCAGTGCAAATCTGGATGTATATCAGTACTGTACACTGACAAAAAGACAGACAGAGCCATTATACTCAAGAATGTGCAGGTACACAAACACACACACACACACACACTCACAAAACCCCTTACACCTCCCTCACTGGCCCACTGAATAGGCCTCATTCAGACTTACCAGCATGCTTGGCAGCCTCAGCTGTGGCTGAATCTTCTTAGCGCTACCGATGGGCTGAGATGAGCTGAAGTGTTAAGCCTGTCTTCATTTACACAGAGAAGTTAACCAGACTGTCATACAAGTGGTCAACATATGCTATGGGAGACAGCTGCCCCTCTCTTGTCTTTTTGTCCGTTTGGGTTACAAACCCCGGTGGAATGGCCAATTTAGGCCATTAGAGGGTGTGTGTGTTTGTGTGTGATTGGGTTGGAGGGGAAGTACATTCTGGCTTGAATCTCCCTACATTAGAGGTTTTTCTTCCTCCCTTGACCACTCATAATTACACACACACACACACACACACATAAATACTAGACGTTTTGGACTTGTTCCAGGCAGGGGGTTCTTCACTTGACTAGCATGACATCAAAGGCCGTTTTATCCCCTGGCTTAGCGTGACGTCAAATCCCCTCGAGTACCACCACTCCTGAACACATTGCACATGTTTTAGGAATGGGATTTTCCTATGAGATATTAGATAGCATTTTTGTATTGCCGGCTACAAATACAATTGCTCAAAGATGTTTTCTATTCCACTTTAAAGAGATTTAAGTTTTCCCTGGGCCTGGGTCTTTTCTGTTTTACCAGCAGCAAATTGACATACAGTAGCCAGACTAAGACATTAACTCGCTCTGTGGAGATAAAAATGCCTTTTGTGGAAATATGGCACTGTGTCCCAGTTCCATACAATACAGTGTATAATAACACTGAGTATGAACTATGTACAAATGTTAACGGTGCATTTCAGCATACAAGAAATTAATGTAGACTCTGTTTTGTACTAATAAGAAATGGAACCGGTGTTCCCAGATTCAAGACACCAGACGATCCAAAGTAGCCCAATTTCTTATTTCCATACATTAACATTCATGCAAAAAGTCTTCACTTACTGTATGTAAACATAGTTAAGTCTTTGATGACAGAACTGACCAAATAATTATTAGAAAAGGGGGAAATGACATTTGGTTTTATCGATCATCAATCATCAGTCATTGTGTGCTGAGCAATGCACGCAGTGCTTTGTCATTAAAAGAGGGGACCAATCATTAGAATATAGACTTTTTTAAAGGAAACAACCCAAGTAGTACAAGATACAGCCTCAATTATCCCAAGATGCCCAAAACAATTTTTACCTGCCCAATTAGACAACACCAGCACCAATAGACCGGCTTTTTTTTGGATCTGTATGAATCTTTTTTACCTTCTTTTCTATTTTTGAAATATGTAAATAGAGTAAACAAACGGCCAATAACGTAATATTTTTGTAAATAATTTTAGTGTTCATAAGAGGCTGTCGCATCACCAGCTACAATTCTTGCTCTTTTTTCCCTGCAGTAAGTAGTTAAATAATCTTTGCTGTATTGTGGGAAACTCAAACATCAAAACATTGTTTTATGTTTCGGTACAGTAGCAGCTTAAGATATTTAATTAAAGTAATAACGTCATTTAAGATATATTCAAAGGCAGTCTGTATTTGAAGCTGACACTGTTGATACCTTTATTTAGCATATTCTGTGTTCTGTAAAACTTGACTTTTTTGATATAACACCCGAAGAGGTCATTTTTTTAAAGTAAGTCCAGATCCAAGATGATTAAATGCTATCCTGTTCTTTTCATCTGACCCCTGTCTAGTGATTCATGGGTAAGACTAGCGAGGGCTATGTAGCAGCTGGCATGTTCCATCATTTATCTTCTAAATTAAACCCTTGCATCATATACCATGGATTCCTGATAATATACCTATCACATGAGTAGAACTAATGCTGAAGCTTTCATGTAGCCAAGACTCCAACCAGTATCCAGCAAAGCCAGTGGCAGCTGTTGAGAGCAGGCATCCCGGGAATGTACAAACACAAGTAGCAGTTGAGCAGTTGAGCTGTCTTCAGATTCATGCTACACACACAGCGGGGCTCCCCAGTACACACATACACACAAATACACACCCACACACATGCACATAGATCCTCCTTTGGCCACAAAGGTTAATGAACATCTGCTGCTCTGCATATTGGATAACAATGTATGAGAGGGAAACCCTACTGATAACCACTGTCCTGACAAGTAACCTCTGGTCCTCTAAACAACACACAAACACTTCATTCAAAGAGGATTTTAAAGTCACATTGACTTTTTTCAATGTTGTTCTCCTTCTGAGTCAAAATAACGCTACTATGACTGATCTGTTTTATTTGAGTTCTGTGTGAAGTGCTAAATATACAGGTATATGTAATAGTGGATATCATCACTTTTATTACATTATGCAGACTAATAAAATGAATATATGGCAGAGAAAACTCCTCAGACTATCTTAAACATCTCTTATAAGTCTACAAACCTCTCTTTTAAAACAGTCTTGTAAAATCACACAGAATGTCCACATACCCTGTTTTTGTGAAGTCGAAAGCAGTCCATATCCTCAGCTCCAAATCCTGAACACTACAGCCATGAAATCAAAACTCCAGCAGCACTCCGAGTGTCTGCAGAGCTGGCTGAGCCAGCATACAGTATCCTACCACATCCTGTGTTCCTACACACACATACTCAAACACACACATGCACACATACATACACACACACACTGCTGTTCCCTTGTCACGACTGAGGGGAAAAGCAGTTGAAATGCAGCCTTTGAAAGAGACGGTTATGCTAATTTAGCTTTACTGGATTAGCAGGAAAATAATGTGCTTCAGGAAACTTTGCCCTCATATGAGGAAAAACAAATGTGTGTGTGTGTGTGTGTGCATACATGTGTGTAAGTGGGTGTTCCATAGTGGGACAGGGGGCAGCTGTTGCCGCCCGAAAAACACTTGTGTGCCTGTTGCCTTGGCAACAGTGCTGTCACACTGGAGGTAATAAAAGAAGGTAATTAAAGAAGTCAAAGAGCATAAAAACACTCTGACTGTATGGAACTCCCACACAGCTAAACCCACAAGCAAATACTTTACACACTGCGAAATACAACTGATTACATACAGCAACCCCTTTAAGATGTCTGGACTGTCACAGAAAAAAAAGAGGGTTAACGCTCATTGTCTGTTCCAGGTCAGTGAGTCAGATACGGAAAAAATGGTTGAGAAAAAGGAGGGGAGACAGAGATGGAGAGACCGAGATGGAGAGAACACAAACCAAGGCCCAGTGACCCAGAGACACAGCAAAACAACAAACATCAAAGGTCACAGAGAGGCAAGGAGAGGATGGTGCATGTATGTGTCTGTAGATGTATATCTGTGTGTGTGTGTGTGTGTAGGTGTGTGTGTGTGTGTGTGTGTGTGTGTGTGGGGCCTTACCTCCACTATCTCTGTGCAGGCATGAGAGACGAGGTGCTGCTTGTGGGGATCTATGACAGCCACCTGGACCAAAGCATTGGGCTTCCTGTCTCTGCCTGAGGCCACCAGATCATTACAGGCTACAAAGAGGAAGAGAGGGAGAGACGATGGCGGGAGGAGAGGATGGAGAGAACGAGAGACAAGAGGAGAGCAAAGAGGAGAAGAAGAGGACGAAAATCAAAATCAGACAGGATAATCCTTTACGATAGACACACAAGTGACACAAATCACACAACACTGGGTCACAAATGGAGAATGTGACAATAAATGAGGGAACAGGGTAAATAAAGAGAAAAAAGGAGAAGCAAACTTCTAAGGTTGAAGATATATAAATATCAACTGTCAGATTAGATGTCAGATGCCAAAGCATTAAAGAGCTGCATCAACACAAGAGTTAAATCTACTGTCCTCACTCTCTGTGGCCTCACCTCCAAACACAAATTTTGAGCAAATAAATAATATATATATACATTGAGATATAAAATTGTTGCCTCAGCAGTTGATTTAAAATGGCAGCGAGGAAAGTAGAATTCCTTCTGGCGGTGAGATACCAGTTTTATTAGGGCTTTCATTTTCAACAACAAAAGCAGCTTGTCATTCAGCCACACTGGCTTCCAAGGACAGGAACAGACTATGCATCCCACAATTCCTTTATAGGAAGCCAACGCTTCCTGGTTACCAATAGAAACTCCCCGTAACAAGATAACACTCGTGATCACAGCCAAATTGATGCATTTTTCCTTGATAAACACTGCAGTACTACGACATCCTTGTTATCTCTTTGGTAGAGTCAGATATAAGGTAGCAACGTTCCACTTCTGACAGAGCCACACAGCAACAAACACCTTCATTTTTTCTGAACCTTTCAAAATGTGTTATGTGCAACCTTGCGTTTTTTTCTGTGGTTAGTCAAAACAAGTTGAAGATGTAACTCTTCTGTTTACATCTGCTACAAATGGAAGGCCTACAAAAAACATCCGGTCTGATACCCAGTAAATTACACCATATGGCTTTGAATGTATGTATTAATGAACATTTGTATACACTCGAGTACAGTAATGACAAATTTGTGTTCAGCAACCTCATTGGATTCTGTCCAAGAGCTGCATTTTATCTACCCAGCACAATTCTGGCATGTAAACAGCAATTGATCTGCTTGCAATGCCTGGTCAGTTTCACACATTACTCTGCAAAAAAGTCTGGATAATATCACTCAGTGGGTGAAATTCCATTAAAAAAAACAGCAAGGGCAGAAGATTGCTTCTTTGTGCACAGCTCCTTCTTCATGGGTTTGATTTTAATGTTTAAGCAACTGAACAGCAACTAGAGATGAAAGGGGTTCTTGTGGGAGGCATTTTAAAAGGACTGAAGAGCCCGAACAAAGTTGGCAAATGAAATGAAGGGTTCAGTAAAAGGGCATCAAAGGCTCTGACATATATGTAGACCTTCCTTTTCTCGGGTTTAGAGGTGGGTTATCTGATTCTGTCTGATGTCTTAGGTAAAGAGATGAGGAAAACCACACGGTAGTGTTTCTTTTGAGTGACCACTTGTAGAAACAGATTTATTGAAATTGTACCTTTATTGCACACATATAGTATACAACGTACAGCTTTCTTTGAATGCACACACACACAAACCCACAGTGATTTCCCAGTAGCAGAGGAATGCTGATTGTGCTATCAAGGTGACTGTCCTTGGCATTTTTAAAGAAAAGCAACACAAACAAAGCAGGGATTTAATGAGCATTTGTCACACACTTGTCTGCCACAAAGTAGACGAATAAAACAGGAAGCTTCCAGCATACAAATTCAAAGCGTATTTGTCATCGGTGACTTTGCTATTCCCTTTTAACCTATATTATGTGACGCAATAGCGAAATATTTGGTTGAAGGTTGATGGACAGTGTAAAATATTCAAAAGGGTTCAATTAAAGAGAGGGTTTGTATTGTCATGCATGAATGCTGTTATGCACAGAGAACAATTACTCTAAAAGAAAACCTTACCAATTCCAGTGAAAATATTTTTTTAACTTTCTTGCTGCGTCGTGATCATCTGCTCTATCAGAATCACAATGTTCTCGATCAACAGCAGTTTGTATAACAATTTAAACTCAAGCAAAAAACGTTTTACTGACGACATGCTATATAAATTAGATGCCCCAATATCACACAATACCTATGAATATATGAAAAAATGTATATATATTTTGTTATATCAGGACAGCTTTACACCATTGTGCGTTAATCATTTGTGTATTTCACTGGAATTGAAAATAAGACCTATCCATTCCAGCACTGTGTGTATGCAGTTTACAATACATATTCAACACTAAAAACTCTCACTTCAAACTCTATATCCTTGATTTCAGAATCAAGGAGAAGTGAACAAACTGTAGATTCTGCTGGCAGGATTTACAAGTTAGTAGCTAATTAACACTCATGAGTTGATTGAATTTCACCTCTGGCTGACTTTTATGAAAAAGAGAATACTGCAAAAGGGAGAGTAACTTAACACCAGTCTAAAATCCTGTTTTTGCTGACCTATAGTGGTTTAGCTTCTCACCTTCCTGTACTGTAGTGATGTAAAAGTGTAGTAATGTACCATGACACCACTGTCGGGTGAAACAGAGCACAGTTCTGACCACACCAATCAGGTATGTTGAAGAACACTGGAAACTTTCAACCGTGTAATCCCAAAAACTAACCAACAGTAACTAAGATACTGATACATACATCCCCTAAATGTCATGTAGTTCTGAGACTATTGTATGTGACTTTATAGAAATGCACACAAAAAAAACAAGACATTCCTTATAAAACTACAAATAAAATGCAAAAACAGGAACAGGTGTACAGCTATTGTTTGTAGGGACATTGGGTAGCATTTAGTATTAAAAGAAAGACATTGGCTAGACATAGGGGAGTTTAATAATCAGAATATGCTGCCCAAATATCAAGTTAAAGGATTTCTGTTTTTTTGTTCTTGTTTATTTCAAGTCTGTCTTAAAACAATACTGACATGGACATGCTAGTATGGACAACAACCTGTTACCAACTTCAACGTACATATGAGCATGTCAGTATTAAAACAATTGGTCCTTTTAACACTGGTGCAGCTCAAATATTAACATGATTTTTCTTTCTTTATATATAATATATATATATATATATATAATATATATATATCTTTTTTCTGAACTTTTGAACTTTAGTATATATTTCATACAAATGACTAAACATGCCTATAATTCTCTATTCCCTATATATTTCCTCAAGTAAATCTTTTGCTCATCTGTCTATGCCAAACTCTGACTCACAATGTTCTGCATTTAAATCTGAAAAAAGTGTTGCATATACTGCAATCCTCTCTACCCTAACCCAATGTTTACAGTACATTATCAAAAAACAGAATTCCAAATTTATCAGTGAGGTCTTTTGAGAAATATATGCTGTATCTCTTTCCAAAAGAGACCTATCTAATAATAATAACATCAGTGAGTGTTAAACAGAAATCGGTGGACAAGAATATATCATACAGAAAGAAGAAGTGTGAATGCCACACAGATAAGGAGTTGGGTTACCTGTGAAAAGTATTTATATTCGTTCCTAAATGATGATAGATTAAGTAAACTGAGCTTTTAGCTTTCAACCTGAACATCAAACATGCATAAACTAAAAAAGTCAAGAGGTCATTGGTATAAAGCTGACCTTGGAGTGACTAAATTATTATGTTTATTTTTCTTTTTCAAAATAGCCAAATGTCTGAGAGGATACTGCATGATGGATACTGATAAAAAATTCCCATCTATTACTTCAAACCATGACAGCAATTCTGAAACAGACCTTTGACTGCATTAGATGAAATCACATTTGCTAATTCCTCCAATTCTCCAGGGTACAGTATGTCTCATAATGAGACCCACTTAAGAGTGTTCAAAATACAAGATCTCATTTTGTAAGAGTGCTTTATTGAAGACTCTGTCTTTACATTTTTGGGTGGACACACATAGTCAGAGTTTCATCAGAGAATTGGTAAAGAGTAAAAGGGGCACCGCCACAGCAGGGGAGCACAGAGTGAATCATGAAGGGAATAACTTGGTATAAATGGACTTCAGTGCATGGAGCCATTACGAGGCAAACCTTGAAGCATGTATTACTGATGCTGTTCTGCGA